AATTAATCAAAACACAAGCATTCTAAGCAGTAATTGCCTATTTCACTGCCAGATTTGTGAATTAATAAATTCTTGCTAAACTCAATCTTCAATTCGTTGATGCGGTCAAAAAATTGCCCTGGACTAATTGGTACGTTGGTGATGGGTCAGAATGCTATCAAACCGAGAATCAGCCAGGCGCTCTAGAAGAAGAAAGCAAGCACATATGAATGAACTTGAAGCACAGGTTTTGACACGCCATTCCTCCTACCCCTTGATGGTCTGGTGCATCTTGTTTTATAGTCTTTTTGATCCTGCAAGTGATTTTTTATAGGTTGGTCAACTAAGAGTTGAGCATTCAACATTACTCAAGACTCTTAAGTGACACGAATCACAAATATGATGAAGCTGCTGTTGACAATAGAATTCTGAAGGCTGATATCGAGACATTAAGAGCAAAGGTAAACGATCACCCTCAAGTCAGTCACCATTCCCTAATTTGCATTTTCTTATTGTGGTCCAGTTACTCTTCAGTTAGTTGACTGATGGGTCCTGTTGAAAGTTGAAAGTTTACTTTCAACATAAGAATATGTTATTGTGACACCATGAAGTTTGTGAAGATTAGTTAGTTAAACTCTGAAAAGCAATAGGCAAATTCATTTCCCTTCTTCATATAGGATTAAAGGATTTAATCGTAAACGAATTTGCACATTATAGTAGTTGCAATCCTCTCAGGGAAGGGAGATTAATTTGGTTTTGGTGATTTGTATGTGCTTCAGGGATCTGCTGGACTTGTCCAGTACTGATACACTCACTTATGTGGTGTGTCCAGCTGTTCATATTCTTGAAATTACTTATGATTTGTATGTCTCCCTAGTAATTATATAATGGATACTGGCATGATGCAAACGTTTGCTAATTCCCCGGAGTTACATTGCCGGACATCAGATATTAATGACGGTATTTGGACTGTTGTGAACAGTGAAACACAGTCTTGCATCTTTATGGCTGAAACTGCTGCAAGTGGTTATAGCTTCACTGTTGATCCTGATTAATTCAACTTTAATTCCGTGTCTATCAGGTTGATTGTTGTATTTGAAATTTTCAGGTAAAAATGGCTGAAGAGACAGTTAAGAGGGTGACGGGGATTAACCCTACTCCATTTAGGCACAATATAGCTAACGTCGGCATGCCTTATGTTAGCAGTCCTTTGGAAGCATCTCCGGTTACTCCTGTCCAATTGCAGCCAAACAATAATCAGTTTTTTCACCAACCAGTTCCGAGCATCGCTGCTCCCATGCACCATAGGAGAGTGGAAAGCGGTTTGGTTGGCAACACCCTGGTTCCTCCTACCGTGAACCCACATACCAAAGGAGTGAAAAACGTCAATGAAACATCTACATTGCAGCATACACCCGGCTCGGAGCTCATTAAAGATCCAATTAGCCGTGGTGTCAGTCCAAGCGGACTCATGTCTGGCTGGGAACCTAGGCAACATGCAGCCACCAAGAATAAGAAGCAAAGTTGAATGTCGGTGCCCTTCCCGTCGTGTTTTCGGAAACGGGGTTCCAGAAGTTTAGTTGGTGGTACAAGTATTAGTTAAAAATATATTCATAGGTATGCACTCTCACTGCACTTCTGTATGTAACTTCTAGCCCTAGGCATTATAAAATTGACTCTACTAAGTCCATTCAGTGAACCTTATTTGGTAAATTATTATCTATGAAAATCATATGAACCTTATTATTATAACATGGACAGGGGTTGATAGGATTGCCATCCCTCCTAAAAAATTTACTTCTTATTTATTATGGAATTCGAACTAAAATACTAGACATGAGTGTGCAAAATAATAATAACAATAATATCAAGCAATAAGACCCCTGTCAGAATTCTAAAAAGGATAAGCGCGTAATAAAAACATGGAAGACAAGTTCGAATTCCTTTACTTTAGAGTGTGTGTATGTATTAATGTCATGAAAAGTACATTGCATCAATTTCATGCAAAAGACTGGAAATCTTAAATGGCAAGCGTATAGTGTATAGTGTGGTCCAAAAATTAGGATATAAAAAGAGGGAGGGACGCATTGATGGGAGAAAGGAGACCATCCCATTCCTTTGGAATCAAAACCTCCACCCACTTGATATTCCATAATTAAAAACAATTCAAATTTTATTTTATTTTAATATTATTTTTTACATCTGTAATATTTAAATTCGACATACTTTTATAAAAACTCGATTTAAACAGGTAAGAAGGAATAAGATTTGTCGTTTTCTTTTCTTTTTACAAAGTTCGTAATGACCAAATTTTTTTAATTTTAAACTTTAAAGGTTATAAAAGTAAAATCCGCTGCCGATGCATATAAACAGAGGTATAGTTGGTGTGAGGTTGCTTTAACAAATATGAATGTAAATAAATAAATAAGTGCAATAATGTCAAAAACTTTTGGCATAACAATTAACGCCACCTTATATTATTTATTATAAATAATACACTGAATGTGACCCCACCCAATTTTACTTTATACAAATTGGAGAAATTATTATACCAATAAAATAAGAGAAGTGAACTTCACGAACGCAATGATTGATTCAAGGATTTTAAAATAAATAAACAATTAGACGGCTTTCGTGTTATGAAATCTCAAGATCAGGATAATGTCAGTACGAGGCACAGAGACAACGACATTTGGTGTTCCTTAGCCATAACGTAGTATTAAAAATACATTTGGTTTATAAAATACATAATTATATGCTTCAAAATGAGATTATTTGTCTGGTAATTATATTATGGTAATATAAGATTTTCAGTTTAAAAATATATAGTTATATGTTTTTAATGATTAAATTGATTTTTTTCTAATTTCAGTGGGCAAAATAGAACTGAAAAAAAGAGTGATGAAATTTGTGAATTGTAATTTACCCTTCAAGTTTTTACCTGTCTTGCAAGTAATTGACTTTCTTTTTTCAAACGAAAGCACTCCCACTGTGAAATTAGGTCCTTAAATTTGGGAATTATCCATTAGGTTGAAACCAGGTAAGCTTGTAATCATGGTTTTTAGAACCGGACCGGTTAGCGAACCAACCATACTACCGGTTCATTGATTCAACCGGATGACGTTATAATTATTTAAAAAATTAAATAAAAATATCAAAAATATTTAATAAAAAATAATTTTTTATATCACAAGTCATATTCAAAGCAAGTCATAACATATATAAATTAAAAACCATAAAATCAAGTGAAACAAAATGATTCAAATTAACTACAACATAATATTTAAGGTAAAACACATTAAATAATAAATATAATTATATAATTATAATTAAAAAATAATTTTGGGGCTAAAAAATCATAACAAAATGATATTGTTTGGTTTAATTTTTTTTTTAAAAAAAACAATCCCACATGGCTAAGAAACATAGAAGAGCATCCCGAAAGTCTAAAGAGTAAAAATATGAGAACAAAACAATCTCACATTGCTAAGAAACATAGAAGAGAATCACAACTAACTTCTATAAATAATAGAGGTAATTTGGCATTCAAAATCGTGGAGCCTTTTGATGAGCATTGAGTAAACTATTCTTTCACTTCAATCAAGCTCAAATTTTAGACTTCAATTGAGCTTCTAATTTTTTTTAGTTAAAGTCTTTTTGAGTTCAAGTTTCAATATTATATTTCGAGTTCTAGTTAAATTTGATAATTTTTAACTTGTGAGTTTGAGTGGAGTTGAACTTACTTTTAAAGTTTTCAAGTTCGAGTCGAGCTCAGCAATACTCGAGTTCGACTTAGCTCGTTTAACAAACGACGTTTGGTTTAATTTTTTTTTAAAAAAACAAAATTTCCGATTTTTTCCGGTTTTTTTTCCAGTTTTCAGCCGGTCTGGTTCGAACGGTTCAGCGGTTCTGGCCAGTTCACTAGTAGCGATTCAACCGGTTTAGATTGAACCGGACTAGACAACGGTTCCCGATTGAACCAGCCGGTTCGATCCGATTTTCAAAACAATGCTTGTAATCGAAGCAGTTTCAGATATCATCTTTCTTCGGGATTTTTCTTTGTTAGATTATGATCCCTCTGGGATGTTCAAATTTAGCATTTACTTCCTATACCTCTAGACTTGTATCTTAATTATTAACTCCATTAACAAATATCTTAAATTATATTGATTTAATCCAATCTTAAATTATAATCATACAAATATCTTGATTATTTTTATAACTACATCTTAAAAATGATAAAAGATTATATTACATCAAACTAAAAATAAATAAAATTTGTTATCAATATAGAAGACAAAAAACACATTACATTAAAGTCTAAGATTGGAACTCGAATTTTTTCCTGCGTAAACATGTTAGTACCAACTCTATAATATGACTATGGTTGTATCCCACTGGACCATCCCCTAGCAGTTAACAAAGGGTAGGAACTGAACCATGGGTCCTGGTCTAAACCCCTAAAATCCCAATCCTCAGATGCCCCCCACCGAAGCCAATAGGGTGGTTCGACCCCAACATCCATCCTTGTTTCAATGGAGATTATATTTTGTTTTCAGTTTTCACATCCATAACTTTCATTTCCTTCATTTAGGGGCAACAAAGAAGAAAAACAAAAAACTAGGAAACCGACACTATGCCACATTCATATGGGCATCTGGCCATACACCAAGCACAAAACATTTAGAAATGCCAACTATTATATGCATAGGAATCAGAATAACGTCTTTCACAAGCTAAATATTAATTTTTTACAAGAAGAAATTAGTAAAAATTAATTTGCAATTATTAGAATATCTTATCATGTATTCTTTAAAAAAGTTGTTTATCATCAAAATCAAATCCCCTTTGATTAAACCAATTCTCCAATTTCAACGCGTTATCTTAACACCGACCAAGAAAGCCATAATTGACCAATCTTGTGAAGCAAAAGCAAATTAGTCCAATTGCCAGAAAATAAGTTTCAAGGAGGTAAAACAGCAATATCAAAACATAATTATTTATCGATTGATTGCTAATTCGTTTAAACATATATTTTTGTATATAAAAATAACTGCAAAATCTTTTAATGCCATCAATAAAATACTCCACTAAAGGATGCTATAGATCACAGAATCAGTCAATTAAAAATAGCTCAAGAGTCGGGACTAACCTCACAAAGCTCTGAGACTGCAAGAGCATGGTATATAAAATGTAGTCCTTTAAGATAAGAACAGTAAATGAATATCAGAAACTGATAACTTGTGGAATATAAAACAAAAAAAGGGAGAAAGAATAAAAAATGAGGAATCACCTTTGTTTTTTGTCTCTTGCTTTGATTCCATGAATTCAAAGATCCCTGTGGAGAAGATCAAACTTAACAAAAACCCAACAAGAATACAATTTTATATGAGAATAAGAAAACATGAATAAGGATTAAAACAATTTTATAAAAATGTTATTCATATTAGTAAAAAATCAGATCAACCCTTATATAAAAAGTGAAGGGGATTCTTCGAACAGTCAAGTCATGTACCACTATGTATTTGATTTTCCAATAACCCAAAAGTGAAAAAGAAAGAGTCAAAAATTTATTGTTTCATTTCATCTTCAATGGCTGAAGCTAAACCAGTCACCATCTTAACCCCAATCTTCCATTCTTCGTTCTTCGTGTTTTTACCCTTCCCTTCATCTTCTTCAAAGCTCTCAGACAAAGCAAATATGGGTTCTCCCAACTCAGCATCTCCAACTGAGTTTTTATCCTCGGGAGTCACTTCAAACAATGATTGGCCTTTGTCTTTAGCTTTGGAATCAAGCCCGAATTCTATGAGCGTTCCAGTTACAGATGTGGGTGAAGGTGTGATTCGATTGTAATGAGAAAGCCATTTGGCCTTGATATACTCAGCTTTTCGCCATGGAGGAATATGCATTCCTTTTTTCTTCAGGCATTGCTTTACTGCCTCAGAAACAATAGCAATTATCTTCTGGAGACGATTGGCTTTGCCGACAAAGATGTGGGGAAGCGTTTGGAGTATTGACTTGTAAGTCTTCGTTGTTCTGGCGAGTTCGAATTCTGATCTGAAATCCATGTCGATCAATAAACGTTCACCCTCAATTAGCACATCTATGTATTCATACTCCCCTGCTTATCCAAACAAAAAATAAAACAAGAAATAAAATTCAAGCCATTGCATAGGATTCGGATAGCATAAACTAGTTTGTAGACAGAGGAAAAGAAAATACCGGCGGGAAAAGAGGGAGATTTTCCCCAGAAAGATTTGCAGATAGAAGCATCGTATCCAAGGGTCAATAATCCATCAGTAACAATTTTCCTGCAAACTTCATCTTTGCTCTTACAGTTCTTGTTCTTTTCCATGATCTTCGCTGTATCCGCCAATACCTTTTTTTCATTCACAGTCATAGGAGAAACCAAACTCTGTTCCATAAAAGAACAAAAACACATTAAAAGAACACTAAAATTTTGTGATAAAAAGAAGACTGAAGCGAAATAAGGCAGAATTACTGTTATACCTTTAGGATTTCAGACGCTTCAGCGGAAAAATTAAGATTGGAGTCACCAAAGAAACCGTCCATTTCGTCATCGGAGCTGTCGCTGCAGCTACGATTGCTGAAGCAGTTACAGCGGTTACGGCCACTACACCTAACCGCACAAGATTGTTGTTTCTCGTTATGTTCTTCAATGAAATTCTGAACCATTTTCGCCAAGCAAACGGAGCTCGGCTCGAACTCAGCAGAGCATTCTTTGCTGAAAGGAAGCTCATCGGCGATGACTGCGACGGCACCGATCTTCTCTGTCGAGTAATTTCTTAGAACGCTAGGGAACGGCCGCTCAAACAGACGCTTGAACCGTGATTTCACGGCCGGCTGCTTTACCGCCTCCGACCGCGGTGCCGCTGCCTCTTCTAGCGTTTTGAAATCGATCGGTTGGATCTTCATCGGAAAAGGCATGTTTCTCAGCCTTCAAAAAAGCCGCTTCCACCGTTACCACGGCCGCTCTTCAAACTCTCGTTGATTCTTTTGTTTTTCGATGAGATCAGCGAACGCAATTAACACAGAAATTCACATCTTTGTCAAAAATGAAAAATTAATACGGTTTAATCAAGACACGACACGAGACTCTTAACGTTGATTATAATATACTATTATTTTCATCTAATTTGCAGACAATGCATGGAATAACTTCAAAACTCGGCTAATTAGAGTCGCTTCTTTTTTCCTTTTTCAGATGCAGTTGAACTTCCCGAATTAAGCAACGGAACGAGGACATAATGTCATGGGAATTCACGCGAAGATCATGAGTGGCTAGCTCCTCCTCGTTTCCGGAACTTAGTTTCCCGGCGATAATTGGGCGGCGAAGAGAAGGAAATTAAAGACGAAGTAAAGTAAACAATGAAATTGAGCTTAATGAGATGAGAATGTTAACAGGGGAAGCGGTACGGGCCATTTATAAAGGCCAGATGGTTAGTATTGCTGACGTGGATTTTAATTACTAACTTTGAAATCCGCCGTGCGAAAGATTTAATCCGTTGAATTTTTGGGTGTGTTGACCCGTACCGTATCCTTTCTGTTAGTTTTACACGATGCCACGTGATGGAGCGTGACATTGAGGTGCCGGTTCATGGGGTAGAGTCCCATGTGTCATGTTGATTTACTTGGGCTTAATTTTTTATTCATTCCTTGAGCTACATCTATTCTTTCATTTTGGTACCTTCAATTTTTGTCCCACTTTGGTATTTATATTATCATTTAGGATAAACTACACTATCCATCACTTTAGTTTCATTTTTCTCTTCTATTTATCACTCATTTTTAAATATATATATATATATATATATATTTAAATTACTTACATTATCTATTAATCACAAAAAAAAACTTATATGGATTTTATAAGCCTATAACCAATTGAAAAAATATTGAATTTCTTTGGGAGTTTCGGAAAGACCCCATAGGCCTAACATTCACATTTATAAATTGAAAGGTAAGGAATCAACTTTACAATCAGTTGTCAGAATCAATAGATCTTCGAATTATTCATTTGAAAAAAAAAATGAAATTTTCTTATTGGAATATCATAATACTTCTCAAAGTTTAAAGTTATTGATCAATGAAGAACAATATCACCATTATTTTAGCAATAAGATACCAAAGTGAATGATTTACTCATTCTATAATAGAAATAATCGCATTAAGTTTTTTTGTAATACATATTCCTATTTGCTGAAATATTTGTGGTTGGATGCAGAAATATTCCAAAGCTTTGGAAGTCCTTGCTTGCTTGCAATCGTTTTAGTTTAGCTCAGTGTGTATGTAAATGAATTATGTCTTCTTTTATGTCATTTGAATTCAACATGCATGTGATTATGCACCCCCTTATGAAATTTTACATTTCATGTCTTCTTCCACTAGATTAACATACTCATATGTAAGAGCATAAAAAAAAACATTAGTTTGCATAGGAAAAAAAGAACCTTTAAACAATTGCCATCAATTATTACTACGACAAGGCTACAATCAACAATGACATTAATGATTAGGTGGTATCAGGAATGAAGTCAAGAAACCAACTCAAAGGGGTAAAACATAATTAATTATAAAAAATACGGGGCAAAGTATAATTAATCATAGAAAATGAGGGGCAAAATCAAAACAAACTAAAAGTAGAAGATCTTATTTGATATTTATCCATATATATTTTTAGATTATTACAAAATAAGGAGCAGTGACCCCCTAGTATGCTCCGTCCTTGAGTGCTTTATTGGACGATACTAATGGTAGAGAAGTTGTTGTGATGAAGAAGAATATAGTATGAGATGGGATCATCCATTGACATAAGGGTGTTCATTATTCGATTTTAATCGAATTAACTAATCAAACCGAATTACTTTGATTAATTCAATCGGACGCTGAAGTAGTTCGGTTGGGATTGACTTTCTTTAGATTGTAGATTTGTAATTAATTGGGTTCATCTTAACAGTTGATGTAAATAGATCTAGGCCATTGATTGTGAGAGAGTTCAAGTATAAATAGAGAACGTGCGGCCTCAAAAGTTACGAAAGTGTCCGAATCAAACCGTCCAATGCCACATGTTCTTGAGACTTGGCGTAATTGCATAGGACAAAGCGACCAAGCATGGAAAAAGACACGGTGTGTTAAAAAATGAAAAAGCCTTCAAGCCGAGGGTAAACAATGAGCAACTAAATTGTTACCGTTGTAAGGGGCCTCACAAGTTGCGGAGGTGTCCGGATCTAACCAAGCAATCCATGGGAAATGACAAGGCCGAGGGTAATGAGCTTGTAAGACTTGGTGCGATGATGACGAGTTCTGTCAAGGCAAATAAAAGCCAAGTGTAGAAAGTGGAAACTATGTTTAAGGAGGCTGAGAAGCTTGTCGAGTGTGTTCAGGTAGAGAAGAACAGGGCTTCAAATACCACAATTATAGAATGGTCGAAGGGAGCTAAACCATGGAGGGAAAATGTAACTACGGAACCACCTATGGGTAAGGTGGGGAAAAAACAAAAGACTTCGAATAGGAAGTGTCGACGCAAGGTAAGGGAACAACATTTAAATGTGAACAACCGATGCGAGAAGAGAGCAACAAACTTTGAATTAGAGGGGTGGATACAACGAGGGGCACCGGACTTCAAGGGAGAAGGGTCGATGCAAAATTGATCAAAGAACTTTATTAAAGAAAGTTTGATGCATGGGATGTCAAACTTCATGGAGAAAGAAGGGCTGACACATTTTAGAGTAAATGTCATAGTAGACGGAAATGTACATCTCGATCATAATTCTAATGTTTTTGGACTTGATTTGTTGTCATTGATGAGTGTAGGTTGGGAGAAACTTAACCATCAAGTTGATAAGGCCAAAGGGTTGAAGGAGACATCGAAATTTTTGTCGAATGATCAAAGAGGTCTAAGTCGTGGCGAATCAAAGTTGGTAAGAAAATACTCTTACGAGGGAAATTGCCACATAAACCAAGGCAACCAACTCTAATGGGAGGCAGCGGGAAACATCCATGGTGAGGGAGCCCAAGATCATTCGAGTGAAGCAACAAGAGCATCGCTAAGTTCGGTGGGGGAGAATGTCACGATCTACGGGATCAGGCTCGAGACTTAGCGAAAGAGTAAAGAGATTCAATTTAGAGTATCGGGCTTACCAAAACCACCAGACTTGGCCCATCACTTGGAGAATGGTAGAGAACCCGTTCACACTACAAGTGCAAATATGGAAAATGACATCATATCAGAAGATGATCACACGAGCTTGGTAGATATGGTAAGAGACAACAAATCAAAGAAGATTGTGGAAGACTCTTACCATATCAAGTGTGAACACTCATCTAACGAAAGAAAGAAACTAATTGATATAATGGTGGGATTGACTTTCCTTAGATTGGGGATTTATAATTAATTTTGTTCATCTTAGTCGTTGATGTAAATAGATCTAGGTCATTGATTATGAGGGAGCTCAAGTATAAATAGAGAGTCTCTCATCCTCATTTATAACATCTTATTCTATTCATTCTCACTGTGAGAGAGTAATAAAGCTTTGAGGCATTTACTCTAATTCTCTTATCCCTTTCGGTTGTTCTAAGTTCTCTTTGTGTCGTTGCATCTTTAGGTGGCTAAGAGTAGTCCCGTGGTGTTTACACTTCCACACGAGTATCCAACCTTGGTGGCTTGGGTGACCACATTTGTTCTAAAGCTTCCACATCCATTGGTTCCGACCTTTGTTAAGTTTGCATGCTCATAAGGCATGGTTTAAGGATGACTTAGGCGCAAAACCGATCAAGTAGCATCCAAGAAAGTCTAATGTCGCACATTCTCGAGTTATAATCTGCATGGGCATGACAGTGACGATGCGTGAGACGAAAAATAGTAAGTTTAGAAATTTATTAGAGGATTTCTGAACTAAAAAGTAAAATAAAATTTATTTTAGTTTAAGTGTGGGTGTTAAATTAGAATTCACCATTTTTGTTAATATATTATGTCATCAATATAATGTAACTTAATATTTGAATCATCATTTTATTATTAATTAATAATATAAATTACTAAAATATTGTTTTAAAAGGGAAGTGATAAAACTCAAAGAAGAATGAAACAGAATTAATTGCTATTATAGGGTCTATTTGTTTCATTGAAAACATTTTTTCGGAAAATATTTTCCGTAAAATGAATTATATTTTCTGAAAAACGTTTTACGATGTTTGTAATATGTTGTTTAAACTTTTTCCACTAGTTGATGAATTTTTTTAAACATTATTTATTACAAATATTAAATACAATAAATAATATTATTTATTATAAAAAATTAATATTATTATTTTTAAAATTTAAAATTATTTATTTATTATTAAAATATTATTTTTATAATTTTATTAATAAAAATATTAATATTTGTATATTTTATTGAAATAAAAATATTATAAATTATTTTAATTATTTATTAAAGTGATAGCGTTATATTATAATTTTAAAAATATTAATTAGTATATTTTAAATATCTTTATTAAAATATTACTAGATTATTATATTAATATTAATATTAAATATATAAATAATATTATTTATTATTAACAATTTAATAATATTATTTCTATGAAATTAATAAATAATATAAATATTATTAAAAATGTATTATATATTATTAAAATAAAAATATAATATCTTATATTATTATAATATAATTGATTATTTTTTATAATATTAAAAATATAATGTTATATTATTAGAAATATTAATAAATATATTTTAAATATTTTAATAATTGATATTTTTATTAAAATTATATTAAAATATTTTAGTAATATTAAATTCATAAAATAAAATTATTTTGAGTATTTATTCTTTGAAGTGAAAAGTTCGGAAAATGACTTATGAAAAATCAGACAATAAGTCATTTTCCAAAAAAAAAAAATTATGTTGATCAGAAAAATGTTTTACGTTGACCAACCAATTTTTCTCCAACCAAACACTGAAAAATGAGAAAAATATTTTTCGAAAAACGTTTTAGCGAAACAAACAGACACATAGTTTACACTATCATTTATTTTTCAGTTTACCCAAAAACTAAAGTTGTTAATAGAAACGTAATATATGATACGTTTTTATTGGATGTAAATATTTTTAAGATAATATAGTAAGTTAAATACTAAAGTGAAGAAATATTTATACACAAAATAGAGAAATTCGTATAAATAAGGGACCAAATCGTGAATTTAACCCTACCTCGGGATAATCAGGTTTTGAAACTCTGTTCATGATGTTCGCGTGGGGAAGTTCTGTAAACTATCTTTTCCATGGTCTCACGACATACTGTACAAATTCTGACAGCACATAGAACGGCAAATTTGTCATTTCACCCCTTTTTAAGTTAAAATGGATAATTTTGTGGGCA